AAGAATTCAGATTTATCATGATATTTAATATTCTATGTGTATGATACTAAGTTTTTTGGGTTGATACTGAAAAAGGAAAATTGTTAGTTTGCACAGTTTAAATGTAAATCATAAGTGGAGAATTTATCTGTTTAGTAATTCATGAAGATAATGATTGTTTAAACAACATCAATGTGTGCAGAACAACATATTTGATCAAAATGTAGAGGGAGATTCCAAAATGAGATTTTTGTCAATAGATTTACTTACTCTTTTATTTATTACATCCCTTTATCAACCCTTAAGTAATTGTTTTTGTCTAGAATTTGGTAATGTAACAAAATCCTGTATCAACAAACCCATGGTTCATGTTATTTAGTGACTACTGGCATCACCACTGATAATCCTACTTTGTTTTTTTTATGAAAACATTAAAACTAACTCAACAAAGGCAACAAAGATAAATAAAATCTCGATTATGTGATGACATGATACCTGCTTTCACTAATATTTTATTACCATGTTTCTTTATCTATGTCTTTAAAACACTAATGCAGTTAAAAGAGGTTGTAAAGTCTGATTTATCAATGTCATGATTTGGAAATGTTAGTCTTCTTACTGTCCCTACGAGCCAGTAATCACAAGTCGGTCTTTGTTGTTAACAGAGCTTATTAAAGACTTCCATATGCGTCAGGTACTACTTGGACCAATTAAACTTATTCTATCACTTTGATATAACCCAATAGTAATATGAGACTTCGTTCAGTTGGTGTACTTACTTACTTACTTACTTACTTTCGCCTGTTACTCCTAATGAAGCATAGGCCGCAGATCAGCATTCTCCAACTCACTCTGTCCTAGGCCTTCTTTTCTAGTTCCATCCAATTCTTGTTCATTTTTCTCATGTCTATTTCCATTTCCCGGCGTAATGTATTCTTGGGTCTCCCACTTTTCCTTTGGCCTTGAGGACTCCATGTGACGGCTTGTCTTGTGACGTAGTCGGGTGCTTTCCTCAATATGTGTTCTATCCACTTCCAGCGCTTCTTCCTGATTTCTTCCTCCGCTAGGATCTGGTTTGTTCTCTCCCACAGTACCTTGTTGCAAATAGTGTCTGGCCAACGGATCTGAAGTATTTTGCGTAGACAACTGTTAGTAAACACCTGTATTTTCTGGATGATGGCTTTCGTTGTTCTCCAGGTTTCCGCCCCATACAGTAGAACTGTCTTGACATTTGTATTGAAAATCCTGACCTTGGTGTTGGGTGACAGTTGTTTTGAGTTCCAGATGTTCTTCAGTTGTAAATATACTGCTCTTGCTTAGCCTACCAGCGCCTTCACATCTGCATCAGATCTACCATGTTCATTAATGATGCTCCCCAAATATGTAAAGGTTTTTACATCTTCCAAATCTTCTCCGTCAATTGTGACTGGATTGGTGCATTATGTGTGTTGCATCGAAGAATTTTGCTTTTTCCTTTGTGCATGTTGAGACCTACTGGTGCTAAGGCTGCTGCTACACTGATCGTCTTCTCCTGCATTTGTTGTTGCGTGTGCGATAGAAGAGCCACATCATCTGCAAAGTCTAGGTCGTCCAGCTGCATCCTAGCTGTCCACTCTATCCAGTGCTTCCTCTCAGATGTTGACGTCTTCATGATCCAGTCGATCACCAAGAGGAAGGGTGAGAGTAAGAAACCGTGCCCGACACCGGTCTTCACTTCGAACGACTTTGTCAATTGTCCTCCACGCACGATTTTGCAGTTTAATCCATCATAGGAATTCTGTATGATATTGACTATCATCTAAGGCATGCCGTAGTATCGAAGAAGCTTCCATAGTGTTGTCCTGTCCACGCTATCAAATGCTTTCTCGTAGTCAATGAAGTTGATATAGAGTGATGAATTCCATTCAATTGATTGTTCCACAATGATCCGTAGAGTTGCGATTTGGTCTGTACACGATCTATCCTCACGGAATCCTGCCTGTTGGTCACGAAGTTGGGCGTCTACGCAGTCCTTCATCCTGTTTAACAATACCCTGTTGAAGTCTTTTCGCGGTATTGAGAGAAGAGTGATGTCCCTGTAGTTATCACAGTTGATGAGATCGCCTTTCTTCGGTATTTTGATCAGAAGTCCTTCTTTCCAGTCTGTTGGTACTTGTTCCTCATCCCAAATCTCGCTGAAGAGAATGTGGAGTATCCTTGCAGTTGCCGCTACGTCTGCTTTTAGTGCCTCTGCTGGAATGTTGTCTGGTCCTGCTGCTTTGCCACTCTTGATTTGTCTGATGGCCATGCTGATTTCTTCAATTGTTGGTGGGCCAACATTGATTGGGAGGTCCGTGGGTGCTGCTTCGATGTTGGGTGGGTTCAGTGGAGCTGGTCGATTCAAGAGTTCCTTGAAGTGTTCTACCCACCTGTTTTGTTGTTCTTCAATGTTGGTGATTATCTCGCCTTCCTTGTTTTTCACTGTCGTTCTGGTTTGCGGCGATTTCCAGAGAGTTTCTTTGGTATGTCAAACAGTTGTCTCATGTTCCCTTCTCTTTCAGCCTTTTCCGCCGTCATTGCTAAATCTTCCACATATTTACGTTTGTCGGTTCTGATGCTCCTCTTCACTTGTTTGTTTAATTCTGTGTATTCAGCTTGTGTCTTGGCTTTCTCTGCTTTTGTTCGTCTGGTATTGATTGCTGCCTTCTTGTTACTCCTTTCTTGAATCTTATCCAGTGTATCAACAGTGATCCATTCCTTGTGATGGTGCTTCTTGTGGCCCAGGATCTCATGACATGTTGAAGTGATTGTCTCGTTGATGCTCTTCCAGTTGCTTTCCATAGTAGTTCCTTCTTCATTGAGTAGATCATGAAAGGCTTGGAACTTATTGCTGAGGACTATCTTGAATTTGTTGAGTTTGTCAATATCCTGAAGAAAGGCCATGTTGAACATTTGTGATATTGTCCGCCCCATTGTCCAGTGCTTCCTGAGTTTCAATTTCATCTTGGCGACCAGCAAGTGATAAACTGAGGCTATATCAGCTCCTCTCTTGGTTCTCACGTCCTCCGTCGTCCTCCTGAACTTTTTGTTGATGCAGATATGGTCGGTTTTGTTCTGTATAGTGTGATCCGGTGAAGTCCATGTGGTTTTGTGAATGCATTTATGTGGGAATATAGTGCCGCCTATGACCAGTTTATTCAAGGCACATAGGTTTGCAAATCTCTCACCATTTTCGTTCCTTTCTCCCAGTCCGTGTCGTCCCATGATGTCTTCATATCCAGTGTTGTCCATTCCAACCTTGGCATTAAAATCTCCCGTCAGAATGGTCAGGTCCTTTTTTGGGCACTTCTCGACGATTGACTGCAGCCTATTGTAGAATTGATCTTTAGCGTCTTCATTGTAGTCGTTGGTAGGCGCATAGCATTGGATGATGTTCGTTGAACTGCCATCTTTCTTTGTTTTGAAGAAGGCTTTGATGATCCTCAGTCCATGAGATTCCCATCCTATAAGTGCATTTTGTGCTCGTTTGGACAGCATCAATGCAACTCCTTGTGTATGTGGGGCATTTTCTTCTTCATGGCCGCAGTATGACAGGAGCTCTCCTGAAGTTAGTCGTTGTTGTCCAACTTGCGTCCAATGTGTTTCACTGATCCCGAGCACCTCTAGGTTGTATCTCCTCATTTCTGCAGCGATTTGGAAGGCTCTCCCGGTGTCCCACATTGTACGAGAACTCCATGTATCTAAATAAATGGTTGCCCTGGTTGTCAGAAGGAACATCAGTCTCGTGACTTCCGAAGGAATTCGTCTTTCATCATGAGGCGTCATAGTTCTTCTAAGTAAAGACCTTCTGACTCCCAGGGCAGAGTTTAAAAGGTTTGAATAATTTTTTCTGGTTAGCGTTTTTTTAGCGAGTTAGTTTTCTACAGGATGGGGTCGCTAACCCCATGCCCAACCCTCCTCCTTTATCCGGGCTTGAGACCGGCAGTAGCCCTCGGAGGGACTCCAGGCGAAGTTGGTGTAGCATGGTCAATATATCGAGCCCAGTGAAGGTGGATCTCATATAACGTACTTGTTCAAATTCCTTTGCAATGAGACCTTTTTCTTGTCTAGCGAGTTTAAAGAAGTAATTAAGGAAATCAGTAATTCACTGCCACAAAAGGCTTAGCTTGGTGGTGCTGGCGGAACGGGGACTGATAGTTCTTTTAGTCTTCACTTACTATACTCCAAGTAGTATTACTGATAACTGATGGTTTCTAATGGCCACTCAATCAATGTGGTATTCATACCCATTTCCAGGGTTCTGAATAGTGGACATTTAGGACTATATTTTTAATGAAATATATCTCTGAAAACGTGTACCAAATTCACAGTTTGTTTATCTTCAAGACCTGATGCCACAAAACTCAGAAATAAATAAGGATTCTAAGAGTAGCTGAGTATCTCAACACATGATCATAGCAATCCCCCAGTTTAATAAACACAAAATAAATTATCATGATTTTTCAGACTTTTATTCTATACAACAGTCACACTACCTCGTTAAAAAATATGTCATATTACGTTAATAAAACGGAACAGTGTGACATTTGAAATGACTAAAAGGACGAAAATCTCAAGTGTAAACAGATGAATTCTGGTAGTGGAAGAAATCGCCCGAAGATATTTTTTTACAATTCAGTAAACTACTGATTTCTTTAGTTATTCAGAATTATTATAGCGGTAAATTTTATCTTAAGCTAAATGAAATTCTCCATATCTAATTTAAGACAACTCTGTACACTAACCAGTGAACTCAACTACTTTAATCTGTTTAAAATAATAAGAATGACGACAAGTTTGTTTTGTTTGTTTTTTTGCTTTAAACGCACACAAATCCATCGCTCACGTTCCATTTGTTTCGATTATAATTACTTGTTGATAAAAATCGATAAATTTTATTCCATACAACATCTATTTTCTGAGTGTTACAATAATTGACCTTTCCAGTAATTGTAAGAATATTTATAATGACCTGTGACTCAGTGTGACCCTGAGAAATTAAATAAATACTTCACTTGAATAAAACTTTCTTTATTCTTAGTGAACTTCATCTGGATACTTATATTTCTAATTTCTCTGTTTTTTTAAGAATAAATTAAGTCTGTTGCATATTTACTTTAAATTGGAATATTTCTAAATCTTTTCTTCTTAACTATCCTGTCAAAAAACCATATTATTGAGCTCAGATGTTGCAGCTAGGTAAGTTGAGAACAAATATTAAATGACTATCATAATAATCATTTTAAAAATGAATAGGATTTTAATAAACTGGGATGTAGTAGTTAGACATTTGGTTGCTGAGATATATGTTAGAAAATCTGACAAAATCTTGCTCATTGTTCGTCATAAAACATAAAACTTTCAGCATTTTTAAAAAGATGTTTCGATCTTTTAGTCCGATCACTAGGAGTTTTTTCTATATTAGAAAAATATACATGTAGACTATGAAGTATATAACAGCTGCATGAGCAGTTGATATGTTCAGACATAATCTATATCAATAACAGGCTTTTTTTTTCATTAGATCATTAATTATCAACATTAAACCTTTGACAAACAACATTACCCCATTGCTTCCATCAGAGTAGATACATTAGTGATCATTAGTAAGAATCGCACATTTGTTTTTGCAGAATAATAAGTTGAGTGATTCCATAGAATGTGCTATCATACTTTGATAATTTATGCTTCAGCTAAATAATATCAAAACAATAAGAAATATTGTGCGGTTGATGATAGTCGACGGGAAACCCTTAACTCAGGTTTTATGCTAATAAACGTTTGTCAGAAAATTTATAAACCCTAAAAACACACATAAGGTATTTACCTTATTGTTAGACCATAGAGCTCTAGTAGACATTTTCAAATCTCAAATCTTATTTTTCCTAAAGACAGCGGTCTAAAATATTGTTTTATTATTTTTTTTCATTTCAAGATTCCAAATCGAAGTACAAACCTGAATTTAATGACCAGTCACAGTCGTCCATCCCAAAGCTCCCTGAGTTGAGTTTTCAAGATGTTGAGAAATATTTTTCCGATTTGTGGTTTGAACAAATATCTATCAGTGAAGCGGTTAACAGAAGTGAGTATCATACGTCAAATACAGCTGAGAGAAATTGTCGAACGATCTCATCATCTGACGAACAGTTGTATAACACTGAAAATCATTTGTTAACAAACCAATTATCCATATTTCCTAAAAATACCAACAGCCATAAAATGAGCACGGTTGAAAATAGACGTAAAAGACGCTGGAAAACTATGGCACGTGCTATGATTCCTAAAACACAATATTTTTAATAGCCTTAAATAATTTCAAAAATCACAAAGTCCTAATTGTTGCTTACGTCTATATTGTAAAAACTAACCATAATAGCTTTATTTAGATTCACAAGAATGATGTATAAATTCTTAAAAATAACTTGGTAATTTTTTTACTGAATATTGCATTTCATAAAGTTTCTAATCAATACCTTGTTTTCCATATATCTGTCAGGTGATATCACTTTTGGCTATCAGGTTGGATACAGAAGTTCCATAATCTATCGATGTCAGTGATTAAGAATGTAAGGATTTCAATGATCAAGTCATCAACTTCAAGTTAGTATTTATCCATCACTTTCAATGAATTTTAAGAAATGCTTTCTCTAAAGTATAGGAAATGTCATACCTGTTGACATTAGTGATCTTGATGTAACTTGGAGGAAACTGATACTTACCACAGAAAACCGTGATTCTCACGGTTCAAGAAAGAAGACGAAGACAATAGATGAGGATTTGTTATGCATGAAAAATAAATCAAAACTATATCCGAATATATGAACTTTTATGTATTTTCTTTACACTGATCAGTATTCAGGTTGGAATAAATTAAATCGTATAGCACTTGTCACTAACAAATTAATAACTACATGAACAAAAATGTATCATATAAGACTAAACATCTGTCACCAGCACATATAGCTAATTTAGTAAATTATCTGATTAAGTACCATAGATAACTAGAGGAAATCGATTTTGTAGATCAGTCGCACTTTAATAAATTAATATTTGTTTGATCGTCTTACAAGTACTAGAAGTAGACACTCGTCTCCTGAAATATTGTATTATTGTTTGCTAGAATCCTGAAACAGAATATTAATTTACAATGGGTGCCTACTGATTATTACTAATTATTTCCTATAAGTAATGTGAACTAGAGTAAGTAGGTATAATTAAATAAAACAATTCAGACTACAAACAAATCCTCATAGGATACTACTGCAAAAGGTTACAATATAGGTTTGGCCAGTTGTGATTACTAAGTGATCATCATTTCGTATTCATGATGTTAGTGAAGTATTATTCTATGGGATAAGGCAATAAGAACTGAAATAAAAATTAACTAATGTAGATATTATCGTATAGAAATTCATCTTTTCCAGAGAACTTTAAATACCATAAATCACACTACTACTTCAACTTTTAATGGAAAGTGATTTAGAAATTATAAGAAATTTGTAAATCCATGAAGTCATATGACAAATTTTAGTTCAAATTTGTTGATAGTTTTTGTACCACTGAAAAGAGATTTTGCATGTTGTTAAAAAGAAGAAATGAATGAGAATTTACGATTACTAACAGAAGCACAAGTCTAAAATCTGATGAATAAATGAATAATGATGATTGAGGATTATGTAACTAAAAGAACATGGAAAGCCCGATTTCGAGTTGTTTATTTTTAAAAAAAGAAACGTAATTCAACTCTTAATAAACCATGGGAAATTTTTTAATAATTCAACTTCCAAAGTTCGAAAAATATCTATCTGTAGTCCAGTGTCAATTGAATATCAAGCAACTACACGAATGAGACAATTCCATTTCATCAGTCGCATTCTCACAGATAGACCATTCTTTATTCTTGTGTGAAATAACTGTTTGGAAAGAGATGGATTATTCAGTCTACACTGCAAATGGTAACATAGTGCTTACTGGTATTTAATAACACAGGTCAGTAAGCCATTTGAGATAGTCGCAATAACTTGACTGTAGGATATATCATGACTTATGTGGTGAATACTCTTTTCGTCATTATCTCTCAGGCGTTATAACATCTAAACTCGAGATATCTGAGTATTAGATACGTATTTATTGATTCCTAACGTTTTTATTGATAGGTTTTTTAAAAGGAATTATTTGAAGTTATAAATAATTCATCATCTAATATATTACATTGACATACTAAGTTCCTATGAATAATATTATATATAACACTGGACTATAACCGCATGTTAAGCTTCTTAAAGGCTGTTATATATATGAATTCAAAATATAACCATTGGGAACATCGTTTTAGTGTCTCATCAGCTTAATCAAAAGTACCAACTGTCGAACAAGTTTCAGCTTTATTTTAGTCACGTATTACTGGACATAAAAGCTGACACTTTCTTTCGCTGCATTAATATGTTCCGTATTCTGACATCTAAAAACCACGTACCTAAAGAGAATCTGATGATGATCCGATTAATTATCTCATTGTTTCTTAAGTACATTCAGTATAGTACATATTCTTTCTGTTCTGTGAAACAGTGTTTTGACCAGTGCCCTTTTGTAACTGATTGGACAAAAGCTATTGAAAGTGAGATAACTTCCATTCTATGTGTCCTTTTTATAAACTGAACGTGAAGGATTAGCAATCAAACGTCTAAAACCAGACCTATGTATACAAAAAGAGACAGTAATAAATCTTTCTTTACTCTGGTAACAATACCCCCCTTTTTTTACTCACTTATTTCTACTTATTTGTTTCTTTATTTCTTTATTTATTGCGTCATTATTCCAACTCTTTCTGAAGTTTAAATTACATCATACATAACTGATTGATTTCAATTCATATTTTCTTTATTACCATTAATCTATTTTCATGAGTTCTAGTCACTATTTCAATGTTCCGGAACTTTCCCTCTCAAACTTTATTTATTCGAGACAAAATGTTATGACCTCATTAACTCTAGCGGAATCTTCGCTACATCATGATACATTTATTCATCCTTAATCACCCTCTTATGTATAAGTATGTCAATATCTGTAATAATGTTGAATTTTAAATATTTTAGGTTATGAGCAGCTGATGAGAACCTAACGAAATAAAATGAATTTATATTGTTCTGCACCAATCTTTGTTCTTGCTCTATTTAAGATAATAAAGGGAACTATGTGTGTGAAATTATTATTATTCATTTGAACACATAAATATTGGTACAAGGAGGCACCAAATACATATGCAGCACACAAGTCACTTGATTCGTGTGTGGGGTGTGATACTACTCGGGTGCCCAAACAGAAGCAGGTGGTTTTCATAGGGAGCCACACCCTGAGTCTTTGACCTAAAGGTCTGATCCACAAGGTAGTGGAGCATCGTAAGGAGATGCAGTCCCATGGTAGCCAGTGATCAATGAATGGTTCATACGCCGTTTGTTCCCGCAGGATACCGGAGCCCATGTGCACCATTGGTTTGGAATCAAGGTTTTCCAACCCACCTAGATGGACTCTCCATGTCCACCAACCCAGTTGAAGCACCGGACATTCACTTTTCGTCCTCTCAATTTCGTAAACAATAATAATGCCTCGAGAGGGCAGTGAGTAGGGCTTCCCTGACAGTGGCTGTATACGCGTGACCATGTGAGAGTATTTCGATAGGGAGTGCTGACTCTTCCCAACCTCAACCGTACCAGGGTATTTGGAGGCATCTGTCATTAGAGTAATTACTATCTCATATTAAGTAGAACTGTACTTTATATGATAGTATGCTCAAGAGTAGAATGAATAAAGACGAGTAACTGATAGCAAAAGTCATCACTACTTAAAAAGCATAGTCGTTAAAATTGTGACAAAGGCGATTTTAGCAATGATAATATTGTACTTGATCTCGCTTAAATAAATATTATAGATTAAAATGAGTTAGATTTACAATAATTATCCCAACAATTTTAAAATTCTTGTTATTTGTTTTCAAAAAAGATAATGGAATAATTCATAATCTCTTTCAACACATACAATAATTGCTTTAATTACTTTGTAATAAAGGAAATTACTTATCAACTACTTCCTTTAAATTTGACTGAATTACATGTTTATAGAAATTAGCTCTAATCTAAACTTACAGACAAACACAAAAATTACCAGTAATTACCATGAAATTTTTTTCTCATTTCCACTACGTCTAATTTATCATATAAATTTAACTCTGAAAATTCTACCCTATTTAGTTAACGGTTTGTGGTACTGTAGAAATGAAGGTAATTTTAATTTTTTTTTCTTTGTGATCTACCATATATTTTCTGTGTATTTACAGAAAACCTGTTATTATTTAACGGTTTTTAGTTTGAAGATTCAGAAGAAAGTATAAATTATTCTCGCGATTTGGAATTCAGTATTCTTTATTGTCCAATGGTTTACGTCCTTAAAATAACCTTCAATTATAGCCACTAAAAATGGTTGTGTAAACCGGTATACTCTAGCTATAGAAATCTATTTTGAGTAAAAAAAATTCAGCACAATCGGTTCATAAAAATATTAATAAATAAAACAACTGTTTGGGTATTAGTATACAGTTTAGTATGAATCAGAAAAGTATATTTACAGAATAACCGAATTATCATCAAATAAATCCGACTGACATCTAGCGATTAACTATTTATTCACAGAATTTTAAAATTTGTGGTCCTTAGGAGCAATAGTAACAAAGTGGATTGATTTATAACTAGTGAACTATTTCTGGTTAGCGATTTTTTTTAGCGAGTTAGATTTCTACGGGATCGGGTCGCTAACCCCATGCACAACCCTCCTCCTTTACCCGGGCTTGGGACCGGCAGTAACTTTAGAAGAGCTACAGGAGGAGTTAGTGAACCATAGCGGCCTTGATATCATGGATGCTTTTCATCTATTCTAAACCACGATACTATAACAACATTTGACATCCATAAAGTCAGGAATCTGTTCACATTCACCAATCTATTTAAATGCTTCCTCGTGTTTATCAGAGTTACAATCCGAAAAAATTTATTAAAATATACATAGATTGGCAATTCAAACTAATAGATGCTCTTTCAACTTCATACCTCGATATTCAAATACAAAAAATAACTTATCATCAGTCTGTTTGGCTCCATGAAATGAGGTCTTTTATGTAAAAGAGTAATTTATTTCTGAATAGCTTTTATTAGATAATATCATAATTACTGATCAAGCCAACGTAACCTTCACCTATGTAAATGGGAATGATGACTGAAATTGGAAAAATGCACTTATGAGTTGATGAAAACCAGAAGTTGTAGATTTGATCTTATACCAATCAGATGACGAAATCTGGTTGCTATATGAGTTACACTTCAGTCCCCAAATTATATCTGTAACCCATTTATGGTGGGTTTTTTTTTTTACCTTGGTTAGTGGTAGACTGACATCACACTTCATTTAACTTGTTCTAAGAAATGTAATCTGTTTATTGAATGTTACTCAGCTACCATAAATTACATTATATTGCATGAACCAGAACACGGTCACTAAGATACATTTATTTAATGAAAGATGATAAATAGTTTCTACTTAATACAATTACATTTTGGTCTGTAAACTCGAAGTTTCGGTTCATTATTACTTTATATCTACTAGAGCTTGAGACATAGATTGCTTTGTCACATCGTGAAAGGCAAATAGACATCTTAAATATAATGAAAGATTGGTCCAGAATGACTAACTGAAACGTTGTTTATCCGAGTAGTCTCTGTATCTTGAATTCGCACGGTAACATTTTACTAACGAAAATACGTAATCTACTATACAATTCTCAGAACCCAGTTGAAGAGTAATTCTATGAAATAACGGGATATAGTCAGTTTGGAATGTTAACTTAGAAAGCTCTTAACAACTATTCTTTAAATCCTTAAGATGATAACTTCGGAATGATATTAAACATGTATAGAACTTAAGTTCAATAAAAATCGACGGTAAATACTTTTGTATATGATAACTTTAAGTTAGATTTTTATACGAAAGCTTTCTCATTAGTCAATAGAAAAAATAATTATATTTTACAAAGGTTGCAGTACAATGGCTGCAGGCGTGTAGCATAAGCAGCTTGAGTACTCCCACATGAACAAACTTTGTTAGCTATTTCTGTTATAATTCCAATCATAATGTAAATATTTTGAGATAATCCATTTGCATTCAGTTCATTAATCATATATTAAACAAAATATTTATAAGATTCATCCATTTACAGGTTCAGGTGATTTTTATTTTAGCCTTATCTCTCAATATGGTGGTGAATAAAGTGATTTTGGTTGGAGGCGACTGTAAACTCGACTGTTTAAAACGTTATCTTATGTGTGATGATCGATGCAAACGAATGCCTTTCCGTGAAGCGACATGCTACTTAGAATGCAAGAACACATTATCAGAATGTCTGGATAAACCATGTGCGAAATTTGCTGAGGACTATTATGAAAGATACAGTTAATTAGCTGTCATTATTTCTTCTAGAAAAAATATATATTCGTTCACTTTTGTATATTTACGCTAACTCAGTGGTAAAAAGATCCGCTTCACTATATACAGCTAAATATTTTACCTTATCAAATACAAAGTCGAAGAATAATTGAAATATTTGATGTATTTTTTTTACTTTGCTTATTGAAAAGGAATAAGTATTTTTGCTTTGGCCGGTAAGAGTGAATAATATAAAATCATTTACATTGATTTCATCGAATCTCTGGTAACAGGTATAAACGGTCTAGGAAATGAATCAGTAAATAACTACTCAATTTGATTGAAAATTACCCAGTTATTGTGCACCAATGCTCAGAACAAGGAATAAGCATCGAAAATATTAATAGTTCAAATCAGAGCTTTAAAAAAACTAGCTTTCATTTTAATACCATTTCAAAAATACAAGAAATGTAGTATTTCCTGTTTGGCAACAGTATGTGTTTCCTGTGATAAACATAAACCACCGAAAGAAAAAGTATAAACTACGCGTAAACGCCAATTATTTTTAAAATTTCCCCCACAGTGGAACCCTGATGATAAGCGACTGATATTACTTCAGTGATAATGTTAAAGATAAATTCAAACTTTCTTGGCTAATTATTGCATTCCCAACATTTTGGATGATTACGAATCAAACGATCGGTGATTTTAAACGTATAGGGTCTGTTCAAGTTCATATTACAGTCTATGCAGTAAGTGTTTAGTTGAATAAAAATCATCGGCGAGACTCTAATTTATGGACGAGCCAATCAGAAACGTTTTAGAGAATTCAAGGTTACGGCACCAACTTCAGTGCTCAATGCTAACGTACGATCGGCTCACAAGGAATTTTGTACAAAACGTGATAATTGAGCGGCTATAACAAATAAAACGGCGAGACTATAATTTGTGGACGAATCAATCAGGTATAAGATAACAGATCTTGGATTTTAACGCGAAAGCCTTTCATCTATTTGGCTAAATAGACTTCTGGCATTATAGTTGATGTCAGTTCATGATGAAAACCCCATATATAATTCCTAACTAAAGCAAATTATGACAATCATCGCGAACTGGATAATAAAACCACCAGTAAAACTGGCTGCAGCCAGATACTACAATATATACGGATGTTTAGAGAGCGTACAGACTCCTACATAGGCTTGCTTACATGCATTGTGTCGTTATCCACAAGTAGCATTTTGTGTACTCAACAACCGGAGTGCACATAAACAATATTGAAATTATGTGGTCAGGGCTGAAAGTTTTTGAGACTTTATCATGGCCTCAGATGCCGACTATTCTGCAGCCGTATGGATGACTTCCCCTACTGCATGCATTACGATTTTAGAACCTCTGGACCTCTTTCTAACCTTGGCAAGTTTTTGAAGCACATATTAGAAGTGTGTCCACTTTATTTCCTTGATTTTGTATAATATATTTTTACTCTATGCTGACAGTTTGTTGATTGGCTGATATTTCTCAAGGTCACTCAAGATTCGTTCAAAGGTCGTCCATAAATTAGTCTCGCAAAATCATCTTTTATGATCATTCAAATGATTTTGTAATGGTAAAAACTTATAGCAAATCTCGTTAGTCATATGCTCGGAAATTGAATAGAATATTCTCGAAAGAAACAGTTATGATTACGATCCGCTGGTTAGATAATTATGTCTTTTCAGTCTAACATTAGCATTAATTATATAGTCAACACTAGCTTGATCGATGACTAACACTAGGTATCGACCTCCTTAATTTTAAACTAACAGTCTAGCCTATACTATGAGTTTCAGTTTGTGTGTAATATGACTGTTTGTTGTGCGGCAACGCCCCTGGGGTATTGTCCACTAATGGGGGTTGCGAGCACTTGAAGGTCAAACTGTCGCAAAATGATTGGTGCGTCACATCGACAATTCGTAAAAATTTTCAGAAGCGGTCAAATCAAGACATGTTTAGATTTGAATTGAGTTCAGCCACACCATGGCTGGTAACGTTCATTCTTCAAGGAACGAAGACGATGCCATCGTGATGATGCATGATATAGGACGAATCTTCAATGATATGTTATCTCGAAGATTTACAAGTTGGGACAATTTTGAGACCTGTTTGAAAGAAGTACATAAGGTAATATGACTTCTGTGGTTAATAATTATTTTCTTAGTATACGCATACTAAGTACGTTATGCCAGTATGCAAAACGAACAGTGATGATCCAACTCTAAAGTACTTTTTCGTGAGATATGTCTGTACATATGGACGTAAACGCTGTTCGTCAGAGTCAGATGCTTGCGTTCAGGATGTAGATGATGATAGTAATAATCATTCTTCTGAAGAGCATACAACTTCTAACTCTCCAACACAACCTAGGCAAAGGAGACGACGTCGGCCATCTACGTATGCCTTACTTCAAATGAACTTATCCTTCAGGTCGAAATATTGCCATTGTCAATCAGGATTTTGGGTCCGGGCAGTAAATGGTGAGTGCGATATTGTAACGTTCAAACACTACATCTAGGTCACATTAACCATTCTGTTATAATTGAATTATCATCATAAGCAAATATATACTTTCATCACCATAGAAACTCTGATTTCTTTCTTGTTTAAAAGAGATTAAATCATAGATAGTAAATTGTTGAAATGCTATAATTTTAAGACTTTATAACCATCTTGGTAACAATTCATTTAATTTTCCTAGCAAAATATTACGTCATAGGAACAAAGTTCAAATGGTTCAAATGCTTGTGGACAGAATAGAGGAAGCTTTCGCATAACGGGCTTCCGTGTCTAGTAGCAGTGGATCACCAATAACTCCAGACAGGAACCTAGGTATACTAACGATAATAGAAGAAAAAAGAAATTGGTAAATCGTAATAAAATTTTATCCTTAGTCCTTAAGAATAGGTCAAGTTTCCTCTTGAAGGACTCCTGGGAAATCGCTTGGACTAGTACAGTCGGCAGCGGATTCCAGCATTTGACAACTCTTAAGGAGTAGAAGTTGTGTCTACAGTCCGTTCTGCTATGTTGTATCTCCAGTTTCTGGGTGTTAAATCTTTGGTTTGTATTAGGACTAAGCTTAAGTAGGTGTGTAAGGGGATGTCCAGAAGTGGTAAGGATTTTGTATGCCATTAGATCATCACCTATAAGACGCCTATACTCTAATGGGTAAAGGTTAAGTGATTGGAGGCACTCTTCGTACGGTTTGAGTCCTCAAACTAATTTTGTGGCTCGCCGTTGGATACGCTCCAGAGTGTCCTTATCGTTTTGGAGTGAGGGAGGAAATACTATGTTTCCGTACGCTAAATGTAGACGAACAAAACCGTTGAAGATTATATGGAAAGTTCTTCAGACAAACTGGCCAGAAATGAGCTTCAATGTTACTAGTGCGGGGTTCGCTCGAAAGGCATTTTTGTCACAGTTAACGTGAAACTTCAAATCGTAGGTACCAGAACTCCCAAATCTTTTTCAATTCGGGACACTTCTAGAGAGGAGCTTATTAAGTTCTAATTGTAGTCTGCAACATGTCTCATACGGACTAGTTTACACTCTGAAGTACTAAAGGTAAGTTCTTTTTCGTCTGTCTAACTTTGAAGTCGAATCAGACCCCCCCTTGAAGTGCTAGTATGTCCTCTTGACTGCATACCTCGCTCCAAAGTTTCACATCATCAACAAACATTAATAAGTCTGACGATACCTGTTGTGGAAGTTCGTTTATTTAAATCAAGAAGAGAAGAAATGCTAGTACTGAGCCCTGGGGAATCTCACTAGGAAAATCCATAGCCTGAGAGAAAGTGAAGTTAACCCTGACCTTAGTGTAGGTTAGAGGTGGTCTGATACCTAATAGTTTGAGCTTATTGATAAGACATATATGGTTGACCCTATCAAAAGCTTTTGAGAAATCAGGGTAAACGACATCAACCTTCCCCTTGTGATCAAGCATGCTTGTCCATCTGTCCACCGCAGTCAGTAGGTTGGCTATTCAAAGTGATTTTTTCTGAAACCATAATTATCATAAGATTCTGAAGAATGAACGTTCAGTTAAATAATTCAGAATATGGAATTACTGAAAACAAATCAGACGTTTCAAACATAGAAAGACAAAAATAAGAAAATTCGTATCATTTCCCCATGGCAGGCGAACGAGAAAACTTTTGGTGCTCTTCCCTACTATTTTTCCCTTATGTTCTAACAAAGTTTTTTTTACCTCCTCCTTGCTCGCTTTATTTCCCCTTTATTGGTTGCTCAGGATTTCCCTGAATATCTCTGTACTTACGACACAAACTCTTCTTACAATAAAAGCCCTTATATCAACTAACTGGAGACCATTAGCGAGAAACTGTAGAACTATGGTCTACTATGATATTAGTACTGCTCTAATAATAGACCTAATCCTAAATTTGTAGATTCGTCATGATATAACTGCCTAATCTATAAGATCTTACGTGGAAGTCACACCATCGACTACGCCAACTCACTGTATCGTATCAATTACCAATACATGATGAAGAACAAGGTTAGGTTAGAGAAGGAACAATATATTTAATATGAATAGAGACCACGCCTGCATGGCCGAGCCATGCCACTCGATCAACTCCAGTCCATTCAATTCATTGTTCGCGCCTTCTCCATTGTTAGGTATTTCTCCGCGTTAAATATTGAATATCTATTTTCTGAGTAGTCTCGTGTTCACAGCTTTGTGGATTGTGTGGCTATTGTCCAATACCACTACAAAACATCAAAATATATGAACGGTTTTGTCTGTTTTACAAACAATGTGATGCCTACAGCATGAATTACCAAACTTAATCCAACAACACTTATTTACGCACAGACATCTTATCTCGATTCTGCAGGAAACGTCTTGTCAGAACGTGCTAAAGCAAGTCGGTAAACGAGTTAGCCTAAAGAAATAACGTAACATTTATAACGATTTGATCTTGTTCGCGAATCAGCATGCCTCACTTAACTTATGGTTACTGAGAAAAAAATTATTACTATCACAACAAACATATTCATTATTGAACAGTATGAGATTAAGAGTCTTCTGAACTTTCCAGCGTTTTCAGTATAGCTTAATCCTGTTCGAATTGCTTCATAGTCGAACACTGTTTTCGAATGGACTTGTAAAGCATTTCAGGTTCTCGGTGTCGCTTACTTACACTCCAATCCTAAATCATGACGCTAACTCTGAATCCCAACACCAAAGTGTCCAATGATTCTGTAGTTATTAACGTGGGCGAAAACGCTTTCTACGGTCAAAATATTCACATCACGGTCAGTGGATCCGACCTCCCATACACAACGCTCGGCCTTTTTTCAGACTTGCATCTAGCTTTAGAGTACTTTGTGTGCAAGGGACTAAGGAGAGTAGTATGTGAAAGAACCAGGAGGCGAAAATAACAGGAGAATAAGTGGGTCGTCGACTCAATTGGCACGCAGAATGCACCCACATTTACGAATGGAAGACGTCGACAACAACCAGGAATAACACAAGCGTGAGACTAAGAGAATCTGGTAAGCGAATAAGGAATTCGATGGCATAAATTTTCAAATGCATCACTTATGCTGTTTTGATATGTTTTCTTAGCTGAATAGGGTTTATGATTACAAGCTGATGAACCTGGAAAAAGAGGAGAATAAATGTATGAAGAATCACACATATTTTTATTACATTTTCTAAGCTTAAAATATCGTATGTGATTTGATTACTAGTCTTAACTCTTCATGATGAATGGAAAAACAAGGTGGAACTGTTTTAGAAGTAGTCGGAGTAAACTCATGTCATACCCATGATTCTGAAATGGTTGGGAGAATTCGAATTATTATGCGAACTTGGAATCTCCGAAATTACTTCACTTAAGTCGGGTAGAACTAGCTGTGCACAAACAAACGTATTGTATTTGGAATGCAAAATCAAGCACAGAATACAAAAGAATTATCAGTTCATACAAACAGCACAGGTTCACATCTTCAAACGACTATGATTACCTATGGGAAAAAACACAGAACCACTAGCAACATAAAAGAGACATATGCAGTACACAACCTTACTCAGTTTTACATTTGCTCTGAACAGAGTAGATTCATATGGGTCGAAACTAAAAGTACTTGATGTATATTAGCCATGCGTGCTAGAACTTTCTACAGAGTGATGGCTTAACATTAAGATGGGTAGGATGTACCTAGATAGATAGTGCATTGGCGATGCATTGAATAGTTTATCAGAATTGCCGACTGTAACCTCAACTAATAGCAAGAGGCTACATGAAAAGAACAGTGTGGAAGCATCAAACTTCACGAGGAGCATTTGAAACTCACATGACGAGTTATCATAAACCCGAAGAATATTACGAGATTATTGCTATATTCGCAGACATTTAGCGAGTAAACACCATAAAATATCTTCGAGTTGTATCAACAAACTGAACTATGTACTTCAAATTATTGGCGACCTACCTATATAGTAACTTGAAGACTAGATATAAGCAATTTTAGAATCTATCTTCTATGTTCCTGTGATCGTGTGTCAGAGAATCTTTATATTTGCATCTTTTCCTATTGCTACTCCCTTGTCTTCCCATATATTTGCAGGGCTGATGAATTATCATGAGCCTTAACCAAATAACCTATTAGGCCAAACTATATATGGGTTAGAAGAACGATCACTGATCGTTTGATGGTCTATAGAACGTCGTCATCGTCACTGATAACTAAAGCAGGTTAACCGACTTCGTGCCGTGAAATAGCCTGTGCGGCGATGGCCATACCCTGTTTTTCCAAACAATTCTTACCGATACATATTTTAACTACATCATGTCTGCTCCGTACAGTCATCAACATAGCTACCGTAACTGAGTACCACGAAATATCAACCTACGTCAGGTGTTCACTGAGAAGCGCAACTTCAATATAAGCCAGGAGGTAACATCATCACTGTCCAGAGCCAGTGGGCCACGACTATACACATAGATCGCTTGGATTAGAAATCTAGATATGGACCGTTTACTCCATTAATGATTGTATTTAAGCATATATTGTTTCTCTTTGGTTTGTTTTCAGTCATTATACTGTTTACAATTGATGAATCGCGGTCATCTCCTTGATGTCGCTGGTGTTATTGATCACCATTTAACTTTAATTTTACCTGGTGCTTTGATTTCTGATGGCTGTCATAGTGAGTGATCCCGTTCGAATCGAATAACTGTGTCTATCATCATCAAAATACCCACTTATTTTCCTGGTTGTTTGAAAGTTTTATTATTTTGCACAGTTATTTCTTCACTTCGAAGCTATTTGATTAGTGATTTACTTGCCAACCTACACCTAGCAACCCTCTTTATGCATAGGCAGTCGACTACGATACTCCATCCAACTATGTCCTGGGCTCCCACTTAAAGTTGTTTCTACGTGCTTTCATTCATTTAATATCTGCCTCCGGTTTCCGACGGAATGTGCAGTTTAATCTTCCTCTTGCCCCTTTTCCCTTCAGGATTACAAGTTTGAGCATACCCCATTATGCAGTTTCATGATTTCCTGAATAAATGTCTTATCCACCTCTACAGTCTTTTCCTAATTTTCTCATAGTCTGTAAGCTGATTTTTTCACTTTCACAGTAGATTGATACTAATGGTATTCGGTCAACGTATATGCGGCATCTTGTATTGAAATTAACTAAATATAGTATTTCGGGATCTTTTTAATCATCATTTGATCTTACAATTTTGTTGCAGTAATAGAGGCTGTATCTGTACTGTAAATTCTACTTGACTTTTACTTGTATTCATCCATTCAGCACCACTCGTCCACATTGTTTTTTACCTCCCTAATTACTGCACAGGACTTATTATATATAGTCAGTTTCTTAGCATACTTGAACATTTTCCTTGACAAGTCTATTGATGTTGCCAAGACTTCTTGAAATCGCCTTAATATGCCATGATAAAAGTTGTGAACTTGGATAAAATTTTAAAAGTTTGCTTTGGCCAGTAAACAATGGTGACTGTTGTTTCATGAGTATATTTTGTTGACAATGCTACATATTTCGGTAACTGCAAGCCAACTGAATTCAGAATATCAATTCTGATGAGATTAAACAATTCTGCTTTCAGAGATGTTGTGAGTGACTTACCGATTGGGCAACAATTTTCAAAAAAATACGGTGACTTTATATCATTGAACACTCCAATTTGTCTGATCTCACCTAGAAGACACAACCGCGATTCATTTGTCTAATTCAATAACATTACATTGAAAATTGAGATTAAACTTGGATTGCTGAAAAGTCTCCTTGGATTGGAGTTTGTTCGACTATTTATTAGTTCCTTGATTTTTTTTAACTTGTTCGACGGAGAACTGCAACCGTCCTACCAAAATGAAATCACAACTGAGCCTCAAAAGTCAACTTGCAAAAGCCAACACGCATTGCTTTGAATGTACGTGTGAGTTTGTTTATATGTTTTGTGAAAACACACTCTTTAGTCTTACCCGTTACCAACTGCGTATTCCCTACAGAAAGTAGGTGACTTATTATTGGATATCATACAGAAAACGTGACTAAAAGATATACACTTTACACTATGCAACATTGATCCAAGTAATTACTTGGGATTGACCGCGATTGCCGTATGGAAAAGTAAAACGTAAAATTGCTTTTCTTTTGTTATCGTGCATCAAAAGTTCTCGCTGATTTGGTGAGCAGATCGTAATCTGAAGGAAGGTTAGTCGCCTGCATTTGCATACGTTCATCGACGCAACTGTTTCAGTCATAATTCGAGTTCTTCCTGTTATTGTCAGATGGATAACTACCAGTATGCCCAAGGCTTCGTCAATAGCCAATTAATTACTAAGAGTTGTTAGCTTTCATCCTAGACATTTTTTAATATAGTGGACCAAATAAATCACCGAACGAGAAAGTCATAAATAGGCATAAAAAAAGGAACTGCATATTAATATTAGTGTATTTCCGATGTAGCAGGTACACACCATTATAACATTATCGAATAATAACTTACAACACAGATTTTCAGATAAGATACTACACAACCAGGGCTATTAAATAAATAAAATCAATGAAAGTAGGTGGCAAAATAGTCGTTCAGCATTATTTTATGCTGGATTAGCTATTCTACTAGGACAACCCATAATATGCTAACTGGGGCTTTAACACTAGGATTGTGTGGCTGGCATCTGATGGATAAAAAAAGACAATAAAAGATATAGTTGTTAATATTCTTAACACTTCACCCTCTACCTGCATACTCCCTTCTAATAAAGCGCTTTCCTTGACCCAGCCTTGACTTCCCTTCCTTCCAGTGAGCTTACTCCAACTTTTTAAACATCACAACTCATTGTTCTTTATCGCTACATTCTCTTTTATGAAGCCTGTGACTTAATTCCACTCTAACAAGAGACAATATGAATTGAGTCTAATTTATTGTACCTCTGTCTGTTCTACTACACAATGTTGAGCAACGTTTGGTTTTCATATCCACGCTGCTCTTCTGTTTCTCTTTTTTCTTCTTTCAAAATCTTGCTCTGAGTGCATAGCAACGGAACTTCTGAAGACTGGAACTCACTTGACGCACGCGTCTCCTTTAAGACATAGTTTACACCAAGTGCTCTACGAGTCTACTTTATAACAACTGTAAACTTAATAAGTTGGGAAGCATGCTATCAGCCAACAAATGTTGTAAATTGTAGATCGAGCCTGTAGAAATGGCTAGTACATGCTCATGTGCAAATATATTACTATTATTACTATTATCAGAGAATGACTAATTTAGTTTGTGGTATACCACAATACTATGAGTTCACAGTGCTTATAATCTGTTAGAAAATGGCCCAGAAATTAGGTTGTGCACGTGCTAAACGGACAAATTATCTGAGATTGAAATTTCTGCGAGAGAATCGCAGTGATGAGTTATCATGAAATTCTATTCTTTGCTCATTTTATGGTTGATAGAAAGCTTTCAATAAATTTATCATTGAGAAAGATGTAAACAATCAGTGGTGCCAAGATTATTCTCCTACGCTCGCTACTGAGATTCATAATCATAGATTTATTATGGATTTGCTATTTTACACAGATAAAAATTAAGAGAATAATCAAACCTCTTATATTATAACATAGTAAAATAAGACATAAAAATTGGGATACTTTAAGAACGATAAACGATAAAAGATATGTAGAGACGGATAGTAGATAGCATAGATGTCAAAGGAATAAACGATTGTTTTTAAATAAATTCACTACAACTGGCTATTACCAATAATAAATACTAACGTTTTTAAACCCCAAAATCATGTTCAAATAAAACTGCTAAATACATTTTTCATATTTAATAGAAAGGAATCTGGAACAGTCAGTTGGGCCTACCGTTGATAATCTATTCAATTCTCCTGTATCTGAACCTGGTCCTACAAAAATACCTTCTGTAATTGGAACTAGAAAACCGAATACTACACGGGTAATTTCACCATAATACATGAATATGAATAACTTGTCTTATTGTAAATGCAGGCTAGTAAAAATTGTATTTAAAAACAAAAGTATGCGATATCAATCAGTTTATTTACCTGAATCTCCCGGTTGCTGATTGAATGAAATTAAAAATCGGTCTGTAACAAAAATAAATCTGCCATATATTACTTCTATATTCAGTCCTCTTGTTCTCACGAGTTTTACTAGCAGCTTATTGCCATCCACTTTATTTAATCACGTAACATTAACTTTTTTATTGTACGCCTTGATTACCAAAGTGTTTGGTGTACAACTCAATAAATGGATGGTAATAAAGATAAATCGTATTAAATTCTACTACTAGCCAAAACTAAATAGTGTATTATCAAGAATCCAGTCTCACTATTTGCCTACCAAATTTTCTTTCTCCACAGTTCAAAAGAGCTAGAATTTCTGTAACATTTATTTATCCTCTCATGTCCTCAATATAACAAACATTTATGCATCAATTTTTAAATTTATAAGTTCCGTCTCATTATACTGTTTGTATAACATTTTGCAGTCATGTCTATATTACTCCGAAACAGTAACGTTGATTCTTTAAAGTTGGTCCTTTGACATTTATCAGATTCATACTTGGGTATTATTTATTTGAAGTGCACTCAGAAGACAGTACTTAAATCTACAGACTTAGTTTATTCTAATAACTTGGATATATTATTAACTACTTGTTCCGTTGTCGGCTTGATTCAGGATGGTACTCGTCACAGATTGACCTCAATTAGGGTACCGCGAAACCATAAGATTTTGTATTTGACCCCGAGTGGGATCGTAAGTGAACGCTGACGGGGTTCCATACTTCAACAAACGAACCCCCTGATTTCTAATAGTGCTTCAACTGAGGTTAATCTATAACGATTAATACCTTCAGACTAAACTGATATCCACAAAACCCACTTAAAATAATGGATTTCCCAACACCCTCTTGCTTGAACCAGTCATATCTGGACTTTTGTAGGCTGGACCTTAGTCGTTTTGCCCTACATCTTTCCCTATCGTTTCACTTCCGTTCTACCCATTCATTTTAATAATTCTTCGAGTTGCCTAGTTAAATCCTAGCCCATAACATTTGGTGCACCCTCCACAAATTTTAAACATTTCCTAGATATGGACTAGTGGTTGAATATGTTTACCAACTGCTAACCTTAATCCATCTGTTTCAAGCCAGTGAGTTTTCAAAAACCCAGGATGTGTATTTGATTAGCTTTCTTTTCGTTGTAGTTCAAAGCTTTGCAGTTACAAGTTAATATTTTATAGAAATCATTGCCATCAATCATCTACCAACCGTTCTTCATTTAAATAGGTTATTGAAGACCTATTATAAACATAAACTACACGGAATTTCCTACGTATCTCTGTTCTTTGTAAACATGTTGCTAGTCAAACATTTTCAACGAATAGCCTGTTAAAACTATTATCATCGTTATCCATTTTAGCTTTCATGGGGTCAGTTCTCGCTTTATTAACAGTTTCAGAATACAATGGATTCCATATGTAAGGGGTTTGTTAATTGTTGCGCTCAGAGAAATTGTGGTCGATTTTAATTCTATGAAATTAGCAGTTCACCACCTCATAGTTAATAATCTGATTCATAGTCCTGTGTATCTTAAGAATGTACTAACTGGTTATCACGTGTTAACTATTTATGGTTATACAAAGATCAAGTAAAAGTAATACTTGAAAGCTCCAAAGTCCTGTTCTAGTCAGTTGGTGTTTTGAAAAACTAAACAAACTGAGAAAACGTTGCGTGAGTGAATATGTAGTAATATATGCAACCACCGTCATAATAATGACTCGATAACTTATAGTCACGACACTTCTTACTAAAGATGTCTATTCGATATGGGACGACATTCCGAATTATTTGGGATTGGTAATAGACGGCTGATTAAGGCAGTTAAATACAAATAGACGAAACAGCTAGATTGACCAATGTTCATACGTTCATACTAAATTAAGTGCGCTATTCCTTCTGGGGTACTGTCTGCAGTCGCTCACAAGATTTCTGCATTATGTGTTCCATTCAACTGATTGTTCAACAGTGGTTCGCATTGCCGCAATTTGGTCGGCACATGATCTCCTCTTGCCAAAACCAGCTCGTTAATCTCGAAGTTCGGTGTCTTCTAAATCTTACATTCTGTTCAGCAGCAATCTGCCAAAACGGCCTGATACTGAGAGTAGTGTGCATAATCCTTCTGTAATTCTCACACCTAATTCAGTGAACGACTATTTTGTTGTTTAATGCGCAATCACACAATGGTTTAGCAGAGTGTGAAAATCATACATCAAGTGCATTATTTGCACATCTTCAAATTGTCTCTCACAAACTTCATTGTTCCTTATCTCTTCTCTTCATTTCGATCTTCTCAACCTTCGTCTTGCAGCCACTCCACTTCCGATTGTTGTTACGTACTACTTATACCTGCAAACATACGTATCATACACCACACTAAGATCCCCTTATTTTGGTATCTTGACGAGGAATACTTTTCAATTTTTTATTACTCGTTCTTCCCCCACAAATCCTTTTCAAGAGAACGTAGAACATATTTACAGTTGCCCCTTCATCTAACATTAGTGCTTCAACTGGTATGCTGTTTGGTTCTACTACTCTGCCAATAATTTTTTGTCTGACGGCTTTGCTATTGTTAGCGGGGTATCATCCATAGGGAGATATGCGTATGTTTCTTCCAAGTTCAGTGATTTTGGCGGCGCGGGTCCGTTTATAGGATTTTCAATGTGCTCTACTCACCAGTCCCACTATTCTTGACCCTCGATAATTGGTTTGTTTTTCTTTGTTCCTGACTGATCGCTCTGGTCCATATTTTCCTGCAAGCCTGTTGGCGGTATAACATAGTTCTCTTATTTATTAACACCCTAAGGGCCCTACATGCAAACACCTCAGGCAGAGTGAGGGCATACAACCACCTCTCTCCATTGTTCCATTCGAGCAGTGGGGTTACACAGGGTTGCCCAACCTCACCATTCCTCTTCAACTTTACCAAGTAGACGAATCGATATTAGATATTGGAAACGCGCGTTATTTCGAGGGCGCGTCACATTAGTCCACGTATATTGTTTCGTGCTGTTGGAGGACGAAATGGTCTCTGTATCACCAACAAAACATGAAATAGTTACAATTTTAAATAAGCTTAAGTCTTTGCCGTGCAACAAGGTACTTTCTGTCATTGCTTCATGATATTCTGTACAGCAATGCTTTGACTGTGGTGCCACAAATCCAACATGGGCTAGTGTTACCTACGGTGTTTTTCTTTGTATTGACTGTTCGGCAGTCCACCGTTCACTTGGAGTCCATCTAAGTTTCATTCGATCGACTCAGCTAGATACTAACTGGACTTGGGTCCAGTTGCGCGCAATGCAAGTTGGTGGCAATCAAAATGCGGTAAACATGAATCTCCTACTAATTATTTGTAGCTTACTTTCTTCTCCCAAAATAATTGTCGTTCCCTGGATGTTCAGGAAAAATACCAAAGTCGTGCTTCCCAACTGTACCGTGCTAAGCTGGAAAAACTTGCTATTGACGCTGTTAAAACCCATGGTAACAAGGTAACCAGTCACTACCCGTCTTAGTTTCTACAGTTGACTCTGGAACTTGATGAAGGAAAATTCAAACGTGATCAGGTGGCTGACTTTTTTGAGGAACATACTGAAAGTGGTACGACTGACATTAGAAATGATGAACCTGTGATAGTAACAACAAGTGAGTTGTGTACGTGCTTGTAAATTGCATAACTGTACTGATAGGTGGCGAGAATATGGTTTATTTATCAATAGTTTTGGTACTTTGCTTTCTATCAGAAATGTATAGAGGCTCTCCTATCTTAATTAGCGACTGCCGGGAACTTTTTTGCTTGTCCGAAATCTGACAGTGTCAGATAACATTTCAACCTGTTTCGTATTGAAAATGAGTTACTCAATAAAGTTTTTCAAATAAAGAATATCAAAGGGTTGCGGCAATGCGTTTTAGCGTCAACATCACTTTGTAAGCATCAGTACATAAACATAGAAGATGAGAGTATTGAGTTAATTAGTTTGGGATTTCTTATATTTAAACGCATCTTCTATATTGTATGCTAAACAGTAACCAGACTCGCTACTCCACGCACATATCCCATCAATTACGAAAAGACTGATCCGCCTTCTGTTAACGCACTAAAGTCAGTAAAACCAAGTTATAAGTACTTCCACAATGTTTTTTTTCGAAACTAAGTAATCATCGTTCATCAAAATTCCTAAATTAGTTAAAAATAAAATCACCTTAATTTGTAAAACAGGTTCGGTCGCTTGATAGCCGCTTCCTTAAGTCTAGATCCAGTATTACATAAGATACGAAATCGGTCTAGTTATACCAGCATGTTTTTTTCAGGTACTAAAATTATTACGGACTTTTTTAAACATGGAAAATCGAGAACTGAAGCTGTTGTCACGTGAAATAGCTTTTAAGTGTTCTATGCCAATAATAGCGCAAAATGACTTATTTTAGGATAAAAGGTAATACTAACCATAGTCAAAAACTAGACAAGGTAAGGGACACAAAATCTAAGATATGTGAAATGTTTCGGAAATATGTATGCATAAACGACACCCGTCTGTTCTTCTGCAGGCTACTATCACTTATCTTTGATAACGTTTCTAATACTAGCTATGTTTATATTGGGAACTCATTTTCCGCAAACTTCAACCCCAAATGCCCTGGTATGGCCGAGAGTGGCTCGGGGTGTGGCCCCATAGGAAAACCACCTGCTTCGGTCTGGGCGCCCGGGTGGTATCACAGCCCAAACACAAAAAATGATGAACTATCGATTTATGGAAAATATATATCGGCTCGTTCCATGACGTTGGTACACTCTGTAGTTCCCAGACTTTTGTAAACAACGTTGTCAGTTCCTTTGCCAGAAAGTCACCACCTCTTAAAAAAAAAGCCGGAGGTAAGTCATCTGGGCCCGGTGATTTGTAGCTCTTCAAGAGTTGGAGTTCCATGCGGACTTCCGTCTCATTTGGTGGATCAGTCGTCACCGACCATGGAGGGCAGGACAGGTTGACCGATGTTGCCGGAGCAGCATGCCAGTTGAACTGCCCTTCGAAGAATTCTGCCCATCGTCCAAGACGTCGATGGATGTTAGTGATTGGCATCCCATCATCCTCACAGATTGTTTCGTCCACATCAGACTTCTTGCTGCCAGTGGCTCGGATGAGTTGGATGAGCTTCCGGTAGTTACCAGATGCAGATACTGCTTCCAGCTCATTAGCACGCTCCGACCACCAGGCTTCTCGGTCCTTACGCAAGCTTTGTCCGATTTCATTTCGTAACATCCTTCGTTTGTTGTCAAACTCACGGTCACTCGGAGTAGACCAACGGGCTTTTATGATTTGTAAGGAGCCTGAAGAAACCCAGTGCTTATAAGCGGCTTTACTCGCCATTTTCATGGCGTCATGCAATTGCAACCAATGCTCATCTATACTTTTCGGTGGAGTGGTAGCCAGCCTAGAAGCTAGCTCGGATCGATACTTACTAGCAACAGAAGTTGCAACCAACTTGCTGACATCAATTCTTTGGTGGCGGTCACTTCGTTGGCCACTGAAAAGCAAGGTAAGATTGGCGCAGACCAGGGCATGATCAGAGTCCATATAGGTACTCCAAAAGGAGCGGCAGTCCTGTACACAACTACACCAGCGGTAGCTGATCGCGATGTGATCAATCTGAGTCAAGGCTTGAGATGCAGAGGGAGGACGCCAGGTGGCACATCGGCGATGACTGTGCCGGAAGTTATTCCTCACCAGAAACAGGTTGTGATCTGTGCACAGTTGCAGTAGGCGGTCCCGGTTATCTGTCCTGCGACCAACAAGTCCCCATCGGCCACCTAAACAATTCTCTTCTGTGCCTAGACTCCCAACCTGAGCATTCAATTATCCGGCTAGTACTACAATATCTGTCAAACGCACTTTCTGGAGAAGAACAGATAACTGGTGGTAAGATTTATTCTTGATCGCATCCGGGCTGCAATCTGTCGGGGCATAGGCGGAGATGACGATTTCTTCTCACTTCGATGGAGCTTTCTAATCTAACAGCACATAACCGGCTGTTAATGGGGATCTAATCGATTAGTGCTGCCTCAGTTCTAGCGCTTAGTGCGACACCAACGCCAGCAAGACCAGACGAAAATGTCACAGGGTCCCCTGATAAGCGCATGTAAAACAAGGCTTTCGAAGCGACAGATGGAGAGCTAATTTGTAGTACTTCACTAGTGTTGAATACGGGTCTCTAATAGACAACAAACATCGATGTTAAGACTTTCCAAAGACATTGCCAGCCCTATCCGTTGTCCGACCTGCATAAGTGTGCGAACGTTGAAGGCAGCCAGTTTGAATGGTGCACGTGGTTTCAGAAAAACTGCTTTAGCATTCGTGTTTGGTGGTAGCATTCAATTTTCAATCAGGCAGTGACTCGAGAACGTTAGATAGAGCCGAATTTCTACCATAGGCGAGCTGATGTATAAGTTGAAAAATAAAGATACACAGAGTGAGAATGAGAGTGAATAAGTGACGTACTAAATAATAATAATAATAATAATATTGGTTGTTTGATTGTTAATAGAATCGTGAATATAATTTTGAGTAAATATCGGCATTTTCATTTTATTTGTACGTGGGCTGTGGTACTGCCCGGGTGCCCAGACCGAAGCAGGTGGTTTTCCTATGGGGCCACACCCCGAGCCTTTGACCTAAAGGTTTGACCCACAAGGCAGTTGATCATCGTGAGGAGATGCTGTCCCATTGTAGCCGGTGACTAAGAAATTGGTTTATACGCCATTTGTTCCCACAGGATACTGGAGCCCATGTGCACCATTGGTTTTGAATCCGGTTAAAGCGCCGGACATTCGCTTTTTGTCCTCTCACTTTCGTAAACAAGACCCCCGCCACGAGAAGGCAGTGAATCGGACTTCCCTGGCAGAGGCTGTATACGTGTGGCCGTGTGAGAGTATTTCAAGAGGGTGGACACGCTTTCCCCACTCTCGGTCGTACCAGGGCACTTGGAGGCATCACGTTAAGTTAAATGCAGTCGTTCATCCCAGAACATCATCGGAACCCTGGCCTCTCGGAGTTGAGAATGTTGGCAATCAGTGTCCGTAGGTACGGTATGTGATTTGCACCTTTGAAGACTGACAAGATTCTAATCCTGTACTAACCCTGGATGGTGAGCAGATAGAAGTAGTCGAGAAGTTCGTGTATCTAGGTAGCTGCATAAGTGCTGGTGGTGGCGTGAGTGATGAGATCAATGCACGTACAGTGAAAACCAGAGCAGTTTATGCCAATCTGGGCCATCTTTGGCGCCTTCGTGATGTTAGTCTGACTGTAAATGGTCGGATATACAATAGCGTCGGTGAGAGCAGTTCTGCTCTATGCTTGTGAAACCTGGCCCCTCGGAGTTGAGAATGTTATACGACTCTGTGTTTGATCATCGTTGTCTCTGAAGGATTGCTGACACCCAGTGGCAACACCATGTTAGAAATACAGAGATTCGGCATCGTGTGTTCGGGGACAGAGATGATTATGCAATTGGTGTCACCATTTTGAAACATCGACTTCGGTGGCTTGCATATGTTCTACGAATGTCGTCCCAGAGAACTCCACGTCGTGCATTATTTGCCGACGCTGGGACTGGTTGGAAAAAGCGGAGAGGTGGTCAGTGTATGACATGGTGTCGTGGTATGAAAGAAAGCTCCAAAGGGCTGGCTTCTGTTGGTCCTCCATGACTCCCTGGCTGGGGTCCGAGAGATGGTGCAGCACAGTGACTAGAGATGTTATCAGATATGGCTCAGAATAGAAGCCAGTGGCGATCCTGCTGCAACCTTCCTTTACTTTTTTCATAAAAAAATGGTTGTTTCTTTCTTAACTGAAAGATTTTTTATGATTGTACCTTTCCGTTTCCCCCATCATTACTATTATTATTTTTTTTATTACTATTACACTACCTTACACTAATCTGTTCATTATTGTTCTTTTTCTCTCTCTTCGAATTCTGATTGTTTTGTGTGGCGCGTATATATTTGGTGCCCTCTTGTACCAATATTTATGTGTTCAAATAAATAAAAATAAATAATTCCAAAACCCGAATACTGTCTCCATCAGTTCAATTAATGTTCTTGATGTACCGCTCTCCTTTACTTCGAATTAATCACAACCTATTAAACCGCACACAATGGAGTTCGAAATCAATATAGCATTCCTGTTGTTGAGGGTTATCAGCCTACCGGAGGGTAGCTGAATTGGCGGTTGCATTCCGCGACTTATCACGTCTCCCAGTTCACGCATGCTTGTAAGATATGGACATATATGTGAAGATACGGTTGATCTGAGCCATGTTGAGGGATGCAGACTTCCAGATAGGGCCGAACGTAATACCTAAAATCAATTATTTAAGGTATTGTATGATATAGGACAAAATCTTTCATAGTAGTGCAATTGGAACAGTTCCTCATGGATTTTTGAATCCCGAACTAAGTATTAATCCCAACTTTCATTTTTTAGATTTAAATTGTCAACTCTGCATTTGAAAGTAGTGCAGGAAAGTTGGTAACGAATTCAAACGATTCGTGGGAAATCTAAAAATTGATCTCATGATATTTAGACTCCGTAAACACTCCTCGACTATCTGTACCAAAATGATTTTCTTTTCTTTAGAAAGGGGAAAAACTATTATTGTCGATCTCTGACAGTAGTAAAAGTACGACTTCAGAGTTTAATGATCTGCCGTTTGAAGATAGTTGCACTAGTTGAACCCGTTAGTCTTTATTTATTTGAACACATAAATATTGGTACAAGGGGCCATCAGATATATACGCGCCACACTATTTGAACACTTAACTTTTTTTATCTTATCACCAACCACGAAAGTATATGACGTGCCATATTATCCACTTATACCTGGTTTACAATTCGGATGCTATAAAAGTGCAAAAGTTCTAATATTTTGCACGTGTTCTAATCGAGAAGTGTTTTTGCGAATTAAGATCCCATGTTTGTAGACCCACAAACCTATTATATTGAAGGTATTCAATGTATCTCAGCAATATAAAATGTATTTAGGGGTGTCGATATTTTCTTTTAATTCTTTTCTGCTCATCAGGAATAATCGACTTTCCATATTTATTCTGCTGAATATAATTGAAGAAAAGCTCTGGAATAAAATAAACTCGTTTCTTTTTCTATAAATCTTGTTTTATCGCTTTGGAAAGGTTCGTCTAGGTAAACGTGTATGATAATTTCCGTATTCTTCAACTTTTAACCAACATTTTACTCCATTGGACGGAAAATACTATTCTACAACTCTAGAATGATCCTGATAGTTGACTTCATTTTACTGGGACAACTATGAAAATTTTTACTATATTTCCTTCTGTTGCACACTTGTAACTATTTACGTAGATGCATTTTAGGAAACTTAAACCAGTCGTCAACGTTGACATAAGTGCTGGTTATGGAAATATCGACATCCTGAAAAACGTCTTGCAATAAATATTTAGCTGTTTCAAACTATATAATTATTATTAAGGTGTATTTATCAACTCCGTTCTTAATGGTAAAGTACTGAATAAGTTCATCCCTGACAAGATTTACTATCATTTTTAACGATTGTACTTGTAAACCTTCACTTTTTTGATTACTTTATTGTCTTGTTGATGTTTCTATATATATTGGATTCAAAGAAATTATGACCTGGCGATATCGTTTACTAAGATCTATGAGTCCTATTTCATACACACTAGTGGAATTAACTTGTCTATTTACAAGTACCTCAATTACCTGCGCATTATTAATACCTGACTGGTTAGGCTAATGGGATCTTCAAAAAACAGACTTCGTTTTTCAGTGAAGATAATACCATCTAATTAATCATCTATGTCATATAGTATCCTGGAAACTAATCGTTGACCTTACTGATTTTCGCTATCTACCATGGCGCCCATCAGATATAAGAATTGTTTGCAGTGAAAATCCAAGACTTTCATATCCGCCACTTTTCTTCATAGAAGGATGTGCTTTAAACAACACCACACGTTTTCTAGGCCTAATTCGGCTTCTGGACTGATAATGATGTAATAAAATGTTATATTATTCCCCACTGTTGCACTGTTTGATCAGAGTAGTGTATGGAAAGATTTATCCTTATATACTATGCGGATAAATTGGAAACATGATTATTATTCTAATTTATTTAAATCTATTGAAGAGTTCTACGGAATTACGGTAAAATGACCTAAATAGTTCAGACTTTGGCGTCTTTATCTATCGAAAATGGCGTAATGAGATATGCTGATTTGTCAAAAGTTATAAACAGGTTTAATTTGTCTGATATGATTTGATGATCCTCGTATCCTGTGTTGAAACCCTGTTCACCGATTCTGATTCTCCTTTAGACTACTGTTGAATAGTTGTCAAAGGAATAAACGATTGTTTTTAAATAAATTCACTACAACTGGCTATTACCAATAATAAATACTAACGTTTTTAAACCCCAAAATCATGTTCAAATAAAACTGCTAAATACATTTTTCATATTTAATAGAAAGGAATCTGGAACAGTCAGTTGGGCCTACCGTTGATAATCTATTCAATTCTCCTGTATCTGAACCTGGTCCTACAAAAATACCTTCTGTAATTGGAACTAGAAAACCGAATACTACACGGGTAATTTCACCATAATACATGAATATGAATAACTTGTCTTATTGTAAATGCAGGCTAGTAAAAATTGTATTTAAAAACAAAAGTATGCGATATCAATCAGTTTATTTACCTGAATCTCCCGGTTGCTGATTGAATGAAATTAAAAATCGGTCTGTAACAAAAATAAATCTGCCATATATTACTTCTATATTCAGTCCTCTTGTTCTCACGAGTTTTACTAGCAGCTTATTGCCATCCACTTTATTTAATCACGTAACATTAACTTTTTTATTGTACGCCTTGATTACCAAAGTGTTTGGTGTACAACTCAATAAATGGATGGTAATAAAGATAAATCGTATTAAATTCTACTACTAGCCAAAACTAAATAGTGTATTATCAAGAATCCAGTCTCACTATTTGCCTACCAAATTTTCTTTCTCCACAGTTCAAAAGAGCTAGAATTTCTGTAACATTTATTTATCCTCTCATGTCCTCAATATAACAAACATTTATGCATCAATTTTTAAATTTATAAGTTCCGTCTCATTATACTGTTTGTATAACATTTTGCAGTCATGTCTATATTACTCCGAAACAGTAACGTTGATTCTTTAAAGTTGGTCCTTTGACATTTATCAGATTCATACTTGGGTATTATTTATTTGAAGTGCACTCAGAAGACAGTACTTAAATCTACAGACTTAGTTTATTCTAATAACTTGGATATATTATTAACTACTTGTTCCGTTGTCGGCTTGATTCAGGATGGTACTCGTCACAGATTGACCTCAATTAGGGTACCGCGAAACCATAAGATTTTGTATTTGACCCCGAGTGGGATCGTAAGTGAACGCTGACGGGGTTCCATACTTCAACAAACGAACCCCCTGATTTCTAATAGTGCTTCAACTGAGGTTAATCTATAACGATTAATACCTTCAGACTAAACTGATATCCACAAAACCCACTTAAAATAATGGATTTCCCAACACCCTCTTGCTTGAACCAGTCATATCTGGACTTTTGTAGGCTGGACCTTAGTCGTTTTGCCCTACATCTTTCCCTATCGTTTCACTTCCGTTCTACCCATTCATTTTAATAATTCTTCGAGTTGCCTAGTTAAATCCTAGCCCATAACATTTGGTGCACCCTCCACAAATTTTAAACATTTCCTAGATATGGACTAGTGGTTGAATATGTTTACCAACTGCTAACCTTAATCCATCTGTTTCAAGCCAGTGAGTTTTCAAAAACCCAGGATGTGTATTTGATTAGCTTTCTTTTCGTTGTAGTTCAAAGCTTTGCAGTTACAAGTTAATATTTTATAGAAATCATTGCCATCAATCATCTACCAACCGTTCTTCATTTAAATAGGTTATTGAAGACCTATTATAAACATAAACTACACGGAATTTCCTACGTATCTCTGTTCTTTGTAAACATGTTGCTAGTCAAACATTTTCAACGAATAGCCTGTTAAAACTATTATCATCGTTATCCATTTTAGCTTTCATGGGGTCAGTTCTCGCTTTATTAACAGTTTCAGAATACAATGGATTCCATATGTAAGGGGTTTGTTAATTGTTGCGCTCAGAGAAATTGTGATCGATTTTAATTCTATGAAATTAGCAGTTCACCACCTCATAGTTAATAATCTGATTCATAGTCCTGTGTATCTTAAGAATGTACTAACTGGTTATCACGTGTTAACTATTTATGGTTATACAAAGATCAAGTAAAAGTAATACTTGAAAGCTCCAAAGTCCTGTTCTAGTCAGTTGGTGTTTTGAAAAACTAAACAAACTGAGAAAACGTTGCGTGAGTGAATATGTAGTAATATATGCAACCACCGTCATAATAATGACTCGATAACTTATAGTCACGACACTTCTTACTAAAGATGTCTATTCGATATGGGACGACATTCCGAATTATTTGGGATTGGTAATAGACGGCTGATTAAGGCAGTTAAATACAAATAGACGAAACAGCTAGATTGACCAATGTTCATACGTTCATACTAAATTAAGTGCGCTATTCCTTCTGGGGTACTGTCTGCAGTCGCTCACAAGATTTCTGCATTATGTGTTCCATTCAACTGATTGTTCAACAGTGGTTCGCATTGCCGCAATTTGGTCGGCACATGATCTCCTCTTGCCAAAACCAGCTCGTTAATCTCGAAGTTCGGTGTCTTCTAAATCTTACATTCTGTTCAGCAGCAATCTGCCAAAACGGCCTGATACTGAGAGTAGTGTGCATAATCCTTCTGTAATTCTCACACCTAATTCAGTGAACGACTATTTTGTTGTTTAATGCGCAATCACACAATGGTTTAGCAGAGTGTGAAAATCATACATCAAGTGCATTATTTGCACATCTTCAAATTGTCTCTCACAAACTTCATTGTTCCTTATCTCTTCTCTTCATTTCGATCTTCTCAACCTTCGTCTTGCAGCCACTCCACTTCCGATTGTTGTTACGTACTACTTATACCTGCAAACATACGTATCATACACCACACTAAGATCCCCTTATTTTGGTATCTTGACGAGGAATACTTTTCAATTTTTTATTACTCGTTCTTCCCCCACAAATCCTTTTCAAGAGAACGTAGAACATATTTACAGTTGCCCCTTCATCTAACATTAGTGCTTCAACTGGTATGCTGTTTGGTTCTACTACTCTGCCAATAATTTTTTGTCTGACGGCTTTGCTATTGTTAGCGGGGTATCATCCATAGGGAGATATGCGTATGTTTCTTCCAAGTTCAGTGATTTTGGCGGCGCGGGTCCGTTTATAGGATTTTCAATGTGCTCTACTCACCAGTCCCACTATTCTTGACCCTCGATAATTGGTTTGTTTTTCTTTGTTCCTGACTGATCGCTCTGGTCCATATTTTCCTGCAAGCCTGTTGGCGGTATAACATAGTTCTCTTATTTATTAACACCCTAAGGGCCCTACATGCAAACACCTCAGGCAGAGTGAGGGCATACAACCACCTCTCTCCATTGTTCCATTCGAGCAGTGGGGTTACACAGGGTTGCCCAACCTCACCATTCCTCTTCAACTTTGCCATCGATGACATTCTGGAAACAGCTCTGATGGATGTAAGTAATGGAGGTGTGAATCTGTTGCCTGGAGAGAGACTTCTCGACCTTGAGTATGCGGATGATATTGTGTTACTGTGCGATAATGCCAAAGCCATGCAATCTGCATTTAATCAGTTGGCAATCAGTGTCCGTAGGTACGGTATGTGATTTGCACCTTTGAAGACTGACAGGATTCTAATCCTGTACTAACCCTGGATGGTGAGCAGATAGAAGTAGTCGAGAAGTTCGTGTATCTAGGTAGCTGCATAAGTGCTGGTGGTGGCGTGAGTGATGAGATCAATGCACGTACAGTGAAAACCAGAGCAGTTTATGCCAATCTGGGCCATCTTTGGCGCCTTCGTGATGTTAGTCTGACTGTAAATGGTCGGATATACAATAGCGTCGGTGAGAGCAGTTCTGCTCTATGCTTGTGAAACCTGGCCCCTCGGAGTTGAGAATGTTATACGACTCTGTGTTTGATCATCGTTGTCTCTGAAGGATTGCTGACACCCAGTGGCAACACCATGTTAGAAATACAGAGATTCGGCATCGTGTGTTCGGGGACAGAGATGATTATGCAATTGGTGTCACCATTTTGAAACATCGACTTCGGTGGCTTGCATATGTTCTACGAATGTCGTCCCAGAGAACTCCACGTCGTGCATTATTTGCCGACGCTGGGACTGGTTGGAAAAAGCGGAGAGGTGGTCAGTGTATGACATGGTGTCGTGGTATGAAAGAAAGCTCCAAAGGGCTGGCTTCTGTTGGTCCTCCATGACTCCCTGGCTGGGGTCCGAGAGATGGTGCAGCACAGTGACTAGAGATGTTATCAGATATGGCTCAGAATAGAAGCCAGTGGCGATCCTGCTGCAACCTTCCTTTACTTTTTTCATAAAAAAATGGTTGTTTCTTTCTTAACTGAAAGATTTTTTATGATTGTGCCTTTCCGTTTCCCCCATCATTACTATTATTATTTTTTTTATTACTATTACACTACCTTACACTAATCTGTTCATTATTGTTCTTTTTCTCTCTCTTCGAATTCTGATTGTTTTGTGTGGCGCGTATATATTTGGTGCCCTCTTGTACCAATATTTATGTGTTCAAATAAATAAAAATAAATAATTCCAAAACCCGAATACTGTCTCCATCAGTTCAATTAATGTTCTTGATGTACCGCTCTCCTTTACTTCGAATTAATCACAACCTATTAAACCGCACACAATGGAGTTCGAAATCAATATAGCATTCCTGTTGTTGAGGGTTATCAGCCTACCGGAGGGTAGCTGAATTGGCGGTTGCATTCCGCGACTTATCACGTCTCCCAGTTCACGCATGCTTGTAAGATATGGACATATATGTGAAGATACGGTTGATCTGAGCCATGTTGAGGGATGCAGACTTCCAGATAGGGCCGAACGTAATACCTAAAATCAATTATTGAAGTGATTGTATGGAATTCCACATGGATTTCCTGTAGACAGATCTTTTTAAGGTACCGTCTTGCTTTCTTGTCATTACCACATTAAGGAAGTGAATATTTTGTTTGTTTCCAACCTCTAATGTGGATTTTATTGATGGGTGGGAGTTATTAGATATCTTCATATTTGTTTTCACAAACGACAAAGATATCATTTATGTATCTTTTATACAAGTGAAGCTTTTCTATAGTCGCTTCCAGTTGATTGTTTTCTAAACTGGCCATGAAACAATCTGTAAGTAACAGACCCAGAGGGGATCCCATTGCCATACCGTCCTTCTGTCTATAAATATTATTATTATTATTCTCCAGCCGACCAATGTTCACCAATAATCTGAGAGATAAATTATCACATCCGACCATCTCAATGTGCGTTTACCAATTTACCTGCTCTTGTAGAGCTAGGTATATAGGTCGTTCGATGCGTACTTTATCCAAAAGAATTCAAGAACATTATCCGGCGTGGCTAAAAAGAGGAGACAACGGTTCAATAAGAAGTTCTATAATCGAACACCTTGTGAACACAGGTCACTCAATCAAGACAGACTCTGCCTTTAAAGTCATCTACAAGGTGAGTAGAAGTCTTCCTAAGACAATCATACTGCATCTTCTCTGCATTGCCGAAGCAATAACCATACATCTGGAAAAACCAGAATTGTGTGTTACAACCTCTTCTTCTATCATGGTCTTAATGTATTAAAATTTTCTCTTTCTTCATACTCTTGTTCCTTTACAGCCATCGGCTTCACCTTCCATCTTACCTTTAGATCTTCTATTCCCAACTGGTTTGTTTTTATTTCGACGATCATTCCGATTACATTTCAACTCTGTTTCAACATTTTATTTTATCATGCTGAGCCATCCTTTCCCACTGATAATTTCCCTATCTTTTGATGAATACTTAAGCCAATAACAATCAAACGATTATTAAACTTTCCTTGTTTTAAAAAGTTTTTTTATTTTTTAATACCTTTGTTTATTTAACCTCACTGTCACCATGTATAACAGAAGTTTATTATCAGTATTATTATCATCCTGTAAAAGTAGTTATATATATTTGCGATTGTACAGCTCTGAAAATGAATTTGCCGAAAGGAGAACTCTTCGCTGAACTAATCTTTCTTATTTAGCATATTCACCAACATAAACACGTTACTATATTTACAATACACAAAATGAAGATGTATCGTTTTACTCCAATGCTTTTTGCGGTAAGATTGTGTAAAGACTTTCTAATAATGAAGTTTATATGTCTGACCTCAAATGCTCTGGCACGGCCGAGAGTGGGGAGAGTCCGTCCAGCCTCTCGGAATGCTCTCACATTGCCACGCGTATATAGCCTCTTCCAGGGAAGTCCTGCTCACTGCCTTCTCGTGGCGGGGGTGTTTACGAAAATGAGAAGACGAAAAGCGAATGTCCGGCGCTTTCACCGGGTTGGTGGACATGGGTAGTTCATCTAGGTGAGTTGGAAAACCTTGATTCCAAACCAGTGATGCACATGGGCTCCAAGATGCTGAAGGAAAAAATGGCGTATCGATCAATCGTTGGTCACCGGCTATCATGGGACTGCATCTCCTTACGATGCTCCACTGCCTTGTGGATCAGACCTTTAGGTCAAAGGCTCGGGGTGTGGCCTCCTAGGAAAACCACCTGCTTTGGTTTAGGCACCCGAGAAGTATCACAGCCCTCACACAAATCAAATGAGATTTGTGCGGCGCATATGTATTTGGTGCCTCCTTGTACCAATATCTATATGTTCAAATAACAATAATTATTATTATATGTCTTTCACACAAATTTTTTCAATTGTATTTCCTCATATTTCATACGTTTCTGAACGGATTATATCCCTTTTCTTCTGTAAATTCAAATGTTTCGTTCAGTCTAGTGCTAAAAAAGGTGGATTGGGGGCATCAAAGGTGAAAGCTGATTTCTCTGCCATCGTTTCGGCTGCCGAACGTGCTGATATTGAAAAAAAATGTCAGATTCGTTCAACTGACCAGGATTTAGAAGATAAGGAAAAACGTAATGAAGAACGACTGTAAGTATTTCCTACTAAAATATCCAGTTATATTTAAAAAGGATTAGCTGACTAAAAGCTTATTTCATAACTACTATATTTTAATAATTATCACCCCATAAGCTGAAAAGATGCATATGACATCATTAATGGCGTAGATTAAAGTGATTGCAAATTAAATTTTTTAAATTTTTTTAGTGCGTCCATTCGGTTAGCGTATAAAGATATTACCGATGGATGTGAAAGTCAAGACACTGCCAACTTGAAGTCTACAGACTCTCAACGTGCCAAACAAGCTGAACGCCTTGGTATGGGTAAAATAGGTACAGGCAACAGGTAAGTAAGTTTGTAAGTTCTGAATCGCTTTGCGAACTGCAAATATATTAACTGAATTATAGCGTATTTCTTTCTCTTTCCTCTACTTCCAGCTAATATAAATTCCGGTCTCATTATTTTATGGAATTTGATACAAGATTAGTTTAACCGTTGTTACTTTTCAGTAGTTGAGATCATGAGTCAACTGAAGCTAGACCACCATGGAAAACCTGGAAGCACTGAACGGCCGTTTCGTCCCATTGCGGAACTCCTCAGTAGTGCGCATCCACGATCCCGCCTCGCGAGATTAGAACCATGAACCTATCGGTCTCGTGAGCGAACACTCAACCTCTAGACCACCGGTCCGGCGTCGTGAGGCAGCATCGTAGATGCGCGCTACTGAGAAGTCCCACAATCGGACGGAACCGCTGTCCAATGCTTCCAGGTTTTCCACGGTGGTCTAGCTTCGATTGACCCATTGTAGTGAACAAGAACACCAGTGGGAACAATCGAATATATTTGAGCACAAAATTACAGAGAATCTCAATAAAATCTGAGAACCATATAGTAAATCGTTAACTTGCAAAATATCAATCCATCATATCAAACTTGACTGTTCCTGTCGCAAACATCAATCCATTGTCTCAGATATCATTGTTCATGCGCTTTCATACCAATTGCGTTCCGTTCCCGTTCTTTCCTCATCGACCTTCTACTGAAATACATTCTATGCCCGACCACCGTTATATATTACTTGTGTGGATATAAGTAACCCACACCACACCATGATATCAACTACTGAGATTACTATAATATCCACAAAAAATCCTTCTGATACTAATTATCACTTTCTAAATCATTTATCAACCTTGTTTTCTACTATCATTCACACTTAGTTAATTACACTGTTACCCCTCGTGTAGCAGCATAGGCTACCCACCAGCAATCTCGACTCAACCATGTACTTGGCAATACATTCCAGTTGCTATTCATCCTTTTCATGCCTGCCTCCGATTCCCGACGCACTGTGTCATTCGGCCTCCCTCTTTTCCGTTTCCCTTCAGTATTCTAAGTGTGTGTGTGTGTCCTATTCAGTTCCAGTATCTTGTCCTGATTTCCTCTTCATCTGAAACTGGTTCGTCCTCTCCCACAGTAGGCTGTTGCTGCTGGTATCCGGCCAACAGATATTGAGTATCTTGCGTATACAATTGTTTATAAATACTTGTAACTTCTTAATGATGGTTGTGGTAGTTCTCCAAGTTTCAGCTCCGTACAGTAAAACTCTCTTGACGTTCGTGCTGAAGATTCTGACTTTGATGTTGGTTGGCAATTGTTTTGAGTTCTATATGTTCTTCAATTGTAGGAGTGCGGTCCTTGCTTTGCCAATCCTCGCATTTACGTCTGTGTTGGATCCTCCTTGTTCATCAATGATACTTCCCAGGTACGTGAATGATTCTATATCTTTCAGAGCTTCTCCATCAAGTGTGGTTGGGTTGGTGTTCTCTGTGTTGTATTTGAGGATCTTGCTGTTTCCCTTGCGTATGTTGTGGCATACTGCTTCAGAGGCTGTTGCTACACTAGTTGCCTTCATCTGCGCTGGTTCGTGTGTATGGGATAAAAGGGCCAGGCTATCTGCGAAGTCCAAATTTTCTAATTGATCATGAGCTGTTTATTGTATTCCGAGCTCTCCCTCAGATGTGGAGGTCTTCATAATCCAGTCGATCACCAGAAGAAAGAGGAAGGGAGAGAGTAAGTAGTGTTGTCTGACACCGATCTTTACTTAGAATGCATCTGTTAGCTATCCTTCATACACCACTTTGCAGTGTATGAATTCCATGTGGTGTTGACGATTTTCCCAGGTACACCATAGCGTCGAAGAAGGTTCCATAAGGTTCTCCTATTCACTCTGCCAAATACCTTCTCATAGTCAAGGAAGTTAGTTTATAGTAACGACTTTCATTCCATTGATTGATCAACAATGACCTGTAGTGTCACGATTTGGTCTGCTCATGATCGATCTTTACGGAATCCGGACTGTTGATCTCGAAGCTGAGTGTTCACTGAATCCCTCATCCGGATCAAAATCACTGTTGAAAACTTTTCCCGGTACCGATAGTTTTGTGATGCATCTGTAGGTCTCAAATGCTGTAGTTTACCAAATTGATGATAAACATATCAAGATAAATCAAATGGTTTAAATGATTTTGGACAGTATACAAGAGGCTTACGTTCTGTCCTTGAATCTCGGTGATTGGCTTTCCTTTGTCCTTGATTGGTCTCGCTGTTTTACTATATTTCCCTGCTAGTTTCTTCATCGTGTCATGTAGTTGTTCCATATTTCCTCCTCCTGCAGCTTTATCTGCCGTCGTTGTTAGCTCTTCCATATATTTGTACTTGTCAGCTCTAATGCTTCTCTTCACTTGCTTGTTTGGTTCTATGTATTCGGCGCGTACCTTGACTTTCTCTGCTCTTGTTCGGCTGTTGTTAATTGTTCTCTTCTTGTTCTTACTTTCTTGAATCTCATTTAGGTTTCCGATAGAGACCCATTCCTTATGATGGTGCTTGTTGCTGCCCAGAACCTCCTGACAGGTTGAAGTTAGTGCTTCTTTAAGCCTTTTCCACTTATCCTGCTTAGTAATTTCTTGTTTGAGTAGATTTTGTACAGCTTGTAACCTGTTGTTAAAAGTTCTCTTGAATGGGTTGAGTTTTTCAGTATTTCAAGGGAAGATTGCATTAAACCTTTGTAATGCTGTTTCCCGAGTTGTTCATTGCATCTTTAGCTTCAATTTCATCTTGGCCACAGCCACGTGGTGATCCGAAGCTATGTCAACTCCTCTCCTGGTTCTCACGTCTTCGATTGTCCGTCTGAATTTTTTATTGATACCAGTATGATCTATCTGGTTCTCCGTGGTGTGATTCGGTGGGACCCATGTAGCTCGGCGTATATGTTTGTGTGAGAATATTGTGCCGCCTATAACCAATTTTTCGAATACACATAGGTTTGAAAATCTCTCGTTATTCTCGTTCTTTTCTCCTAGTCCATGTTGTCCCATGATATCTTCACACCCGATGTTGTCCATTCCGACTTTTGCGTTTGGTTTCCCATCAGGATGGTAAGGTCCTATCTTGGCCACTTCGCTATGATTGACTGCAGCCTCTCATAGAACGGATCTTTATTGTCGTCTTCGCTATCATTGGTGGATTCATAACATTGGATAACACTCATCGCGATTTCCTCCTTCTCTATTTTGAAGGATGCTTTGATGATCCTGGATCCGTGAGATTCCCATCTTATGAGTGCATTACGTGCTTCTTTGAACAGCATCAGAGCAACTTCCTGAGTGTGTGGAGCATTTCCCTCCTTGTGACCGGAGTACAGGAGCATCTCTCCCGTATTTAGCCTTTGTTGTCCAGATTGCGTCCAATGGGTTTAGCTGATTCCGAGTACTGCCAAGTTGTATCTCATTTCCGTTGCCATTTTTCTGGTCCTCCCGGTCTTCTACATTGTTTGGATGTTCCATGTACCTATAGAAAATATTGTTCTGGTTGTTAAAAGGGGCATCGATCTCTTGACTTCGCAAGAATCTCGGCTTTCATTCTGAGACGTCTTAATTTCTCCTTGAACTCGGAGGTCAGAGTTTAATCTGGTTCGCGCTGTTCAGCAAGGTTTTGTTCTGCAGGATATGGTTGCTGACCCCATGCCCAACCCCGTCCTTTACCTGGGCTTGGGACCGGCAGTAACTCTAGAAAAGCTACAAGCGGAGTTACATGCATTCGAAGCATAGTGCTAATAAAAGTCCTGAGACATATATATATATATATATATATATATATATATATATATATATATATATATATATATATATATATATATATATATATGCAATGGTTTATCTTTTATTGATAACTTAAGAAGATATGAGGTGCATATTTATATTTAAAATTATGTGTATATTGCTATTCATATCAAGAAAACTTTAGAAATAGATTAAATCCTGAATAAAAAATATATATAACTGTTTAAGAGTTGTTAAAGACTATATTCTACATGGTTCATTAACTATTTTTTTAATGATTTGCACAGAGTTACTGAAAATTCGAACAAATTTTCCTTGCGTTTAAATGTACCATATGATTTCATTTAAGAAAATTCAGACTAGGTAATTTTGAAATTATTACGCATTGTTTACTTTTCTTGTTCCTAAACGTCTTGACAACACTTATGATATGGTTGTATTTGATCATTTCACCGATAGTTAAGTAGTTTCCGTCAATGTCGCAACTGTACATTAGTGTGTGATAATGAAAATACTTCTTAAATTATCAAAACAACAATTTGATCCCTTCACTTGAACGAGTATCCACTAATCTATATATCCATTTTTTTGTAGAGAAATATCGCACTCAGCATTTGCTAATATTCAAAAAATAGAGCAAGAAAACTCGGCTCCCACCCACACTTCATCGCTAAGTTCAAATTTGGACCCTTTCTTCATTTCAAGTTACAGTAATAGAGACCGTGATACACGCAATTTTTTTGATTCTGGAGATGACAATTTATTCGGTTTGTGACACTTGGTTTTTGCCATTAGGTTTTTATACTATTCTGTGGTAAATATCAGAAGTTCAGTAATGGTGATTAATTAAAAACTGTATTTGATAGTTTTATACAATTTTAGCGTTATGTAATACACATATAAAAGTAGCTGAAGTTTTGGCCATATATACTTCCTAAACTATTTGCATTTACTGTTATTATGGTGCCCCTCAGACCAACTTATAGCTAGTGGTTCTGATTGTAGTGCATTTTTTTAAATGAACAAATTGTTACCTTCACATTCTTATTATGTAAGTTTCTCTTCCCACTAAGGTTTGTTAATATTTGATTTTCTCACGTAATGCCGTGTTATTTACTTCCTAAAGGAGGCTCTGCGACGTATGGTATGAATGGCGGATGGTCAAAAAATAAATCAAGGGACAATGACTGGGATGGGCATTTTTCAGATCCTTTTAATCAAAAGCCAAACAGAACACGTGATTTGTCTACTGTTGCTGATGAATTTCCAACTAAATCACCCAGCAAACAGCCTACATCTCTTTCGTCTAAACAATCAGAAACTAATCCAGATCTAAGTGAATTAATGAAGAAATTTGCCAATGCGACTTCTATATCGTCGGATGCGTTTTTTGACCGAAATGATGTAAGCCTAAATGGACTAACATGTTTATCTTTGGTTTTTAAGTTCATATCGTATTACTGCCATAACCTATATCTGACAATCCTTGAACATTCCTTACATGCCTACGTTTCTCATAGAAATTGGTAGTTTGAAGAATCTATTTATATCGTAATCATGAAAGGTTGCATTATTTATCCCTATACTTTTGTAAGATGTATATTTAGTTGGACACCATCTACAGAATTAAGATAATTAAGCGTGTTTTCATGTCAAAGACTTGTCTGAACAGCGAGATTGTTTCGAAAATTCTTTCTATTACTAGATAACATCTGAAATGACTGACGGAATACAGAAATACTTGATAGTTGACTCGGTTCCTCCCATTACTCTCACACTCCTTTAGAATCACACCAGATTTTTTGTGCATAATCATTTCTGTCTTATCAGAACTCACTAATTTTCATCCTGTATCTTCGGTTAGTTCTTGATATGTTTATTTTGTTTACTGATTTCATTTCCACTATTAATACTAAAATTCAAGATACTCACTTTTCCTCAGATTCAATGGCTGTCTCGTGTTGACTTACAACGATATGAACAACCAAATGTTTTTGAGCTGTTAACTCAAATGTTCATAACTCACAAATGACCATTCTCTACGTAAAGCCGCGAAATTTTCTATTAACTGGCTCCGAAGCTGTGGATAAATTTTAACATATGAATATTACAACATCACCTTTCGTTTATTATTTTCTAACCACTATTTTGTTCAACTAAGTTGGGCTGATCGATGATGACAATTAAAACAACTGATCTACAACCAAATGTCACCTGTTGTAGATTAAACGTTTTGATTTACAATGTGAATGTGTTTTGGATTGGTATTATAAATGAATGTTAATCAATTAGTGAAATGTGATAATACGATTTGGTCGAGTAATAGCTATGTATGAGATTATTGACACAAACCTCCCAAACAACAAATAGCAAAAGAGGAAATAAATCCCCAGCAGATTAGGCTTTTTCTTTAGTAAAATAGCCTGGCTATTTCCAAAATACTAACGCTTAGATAAATGAGTTAGTGCTATAAGTGATTGAATGACATCAATTTTGGATGTGTTGCTAATGGCTTAACCATCTCAGTCATGTTACGTTATTTTTATACTATCTGTCATAGCTAGTTTGGTCCGACTAAATATTTTCCAATAAAAAGCCCTCAGTAAGTTGATCTATTTCTTTTTACATATTACGGTGACAGATACTATGAAAAATCTCTTGATTAGCAGAGCCGACTAGTGCCTTCTGTCCAAAGAATATGGATGCAATCAAAGAGGAACACGCATTCCAGTTTATATAAACCGGTGTGACATTATAACAAACAAGAGTAGCATCTATATTTGAAATTGCTGCAAATTGTGTGCAAGTTATGTTAACAATTGTCTGTATAGATCAAATTATCTCGCTTATTCTTAATAGACAAGTTGCCTACGTCATTCTCTCTAGAAAACTAATAAAATATCTTTTTATTTATGTTCACATGTTTTTAAGAAGTTCAGTTCGTCGTAATTGAGTTATCATTATGTAAAAACTATGTTCTTTGAAAGGTGATAGTTGAATTAATCAGCCTTTATGTTTGTTTTTCTATCCTTCGAAGGTTCTATATATGTGCGATATCTATTTATTCACTTGTTTTTCACTTATACTAGTCTGAATCTGATGGGCTCTCAAGATTTCATGGGAGTTCATCTATTTCGAGTGATGATTATTTTGGTCATCCTAAAGTGCGACAGTCTCAGGTATCTAATGAATTACAAAATATCAAAGATGGTGTCAAGCAAAGTGTAACTAAAGTTGCTGGACGGCTGTCAAATCTGGCAACTGACGTAGTACACACTCTTCAAGTAAGTTCAGTTAGATAAATACTGATTATTAGATGTGTTTTGACTATTTTTTGAAAAGTATGATCGATTGAATACTCCTCAAAGTACTGCACACATTGTTCATTAACGTTTTTGATGACAAAAATTGACGATTATACGCTAAGACTGAATCGTGTGGAATAGTTTTTAATCGTTTCTCAATATTATTCGCCGTTGCAAGTAACGCGATCGGAATAGTTGATTGCTAATAAATAATCCTTTCCATCTCATAGATATTGAACCCAGTTCCAAACGAACTGTTTGGTTGTTCGATGGTAATTTTACTGAGGTGTTTAATGAAAGATACTACTCTGTTGTTCTACTACTAAAGAATGCAATAATTCTACGTATTATATATCAGTCTGTTCATTTATTCAACACAGTTTACTGTTGTGGAAATACGAATGCTTTTGAATTGTTTCCCTCAAGAAGTAATATCTACACGAGTTATTGATCTCACTAACAGTTGTTTGTACTCTCATGATGGCTCTATATCTGTTACCTGAGGACTAATAATACCATATGATTTTTCAGGCTCGTCTCTTTGAATCACTTGCACAACTGTTGTAGAGATTAGTAAACTAGTACGTGTAACTATTTATCTAGTTGAGACCAAAATGCGACATGTTTATTAAAATTGACATTTAAACAAAACAGGCTACCTAAATCAATAAAGAAAGAATTATTTATGACGAACAGATTTGTCATTGAATGGTTTTGGTTAGCGAGTCCGCACCAAATTATTTTAGTGAT